CCCTGCAATAGGAGGAGGCTAAACTAAACTAAGGGAAAGACTTTCCATCTGGGAAGATCTATTAGGCACCTTTTCCAGGATACTTCCAAGGGAAACCAGTGTCCAGGTAGGGGAGGAAGGTCCTATGTGGAGGCAGGGGTATGGATGAAATGACCTTGGGGATGTGAGGGATGGGGAGGTGGACTGCAGAGAACAGGAAACTAGACAAGGCAAGGTCAAGGAGCCTGGCTGAAGATATGCCTAGGGCTTTCACCCCTACCTGCCAACACAGGCCCCTGTGGAAGGAAACCTGCCTAGGCCCTAGGCCCAATAAATAATGGGAAAGAAAATGAGAGTACTTTCTAATCTATTTAAAGGGCAATGAAGCATGGTAGAGACCTCCTTCCATAGGGAAGGAGGCCCAGCCTATGCCAGGCCAGGGACCTCACAGAAGGGTCTAGAAAAGGAGGGTAAAGGGAAGGGAAGGGACAGGTCTAGAAAAGGAAGCTTCAGGTCCTTCAGCCCTTGGGGGCAAATTCACTCCTTTCTCCTCCTTGCCTTCTTCCTTCATTTATTAATTCATTCTCTTCTTTTTTCCTTTCCCCTCCCTTTTATTCCTTCCTCATCTGTCCACCCATTCCACACACATTTGTGGGCCTACTATGTGTCAGGTAGATGCCCTGGGGAACTACTGGTAAAGTCATTTGGAACCAAACACTGTCCCTTACCCCAGGTGGGTATGACTTACTCCCTCTACTTGGGCCTAGGTAGTTAGAAACTAGGGAAATTGTTCCTTGGGTGCTTGCTTTGGTGCCCTTTCACCTATGGGGTCCAGGGGGCCAGAGGGCATTGGCACAAAGGGCTAGCAGAACCCTCCTGCCTCCCATTCTGCTCCAGGCCCAGGGTGCCTGGTTCTGATTTGGATGTCCCTCCCTCAGCTCTAACTCTTGACTCCCCTTCTCTCTTCTTCTCTCCCCTCCTCTCTTTTTCCTCCCCCATGGGCCATTACAGAAGTCAATTCGGCCTCAATCAGCTCCATTTGAATATGGAAAGGATTTTTAATTACTCCAAGTCATCCTGGGTGGTTTTATCATCCGAATGGCTTTGAGGATTCCCTGGGGAGGGGACTTGAACAGAGGTGGTGGTGGTGCTTGGGGGAATTGCAGGAGAGTTTCCCTCCCAAGAAAGGCCCTCCTGAGATCTGATCAAAGCCCTTCACACTGTCTGCCTGGAGCCCCTGAGATCCTCCCCACCCCTTAGACCTCAAGCTAACTGCCTCTCTCCCCAAAAGAGAGCCTTGGGCTGTCCTGCTGCTAGATGCTCAGAGAAGGGCATGGGGGTCTCTATCTGATCCAGAGATAACATTTCCTGGGGGAGGGTCAGGGCTAAGGATTGGGAGAAGGATGGGTGGGGCAACAGGTGCAGAGGAAGGAAATGGAGAAGGGGCAGAACAGTGTTGATGAGCCAGCTCCCTCTACCTGGAGCAGATTTTTTTTTGGGGGGGGGCTGGGTCAGCAGCCAGCTGTGGCACATCTGTTATGGAACCTCTCTCTGTCCCAGTTTCTGGCTCTCATCAGTCATTCCCTCATTCATTTACTTATTTATTCAACCATTTATTCAGCATCATCAGGGTTCAAGGTCTTGAGTTCTGTCATTATGTAGAGGAAGATACCACAAGCCCTGCCCTCAAGGAGCTTACTTTGGTTGGTGAGGGAGGAAGGAGGAGAGAGAACCTCTCCCTATATTTCTCTGGTCTTTGAGACCTTCATTCGTTTATTTATTCCATTCATTCAACTACCATTTAATAAACACTGCCTGTGTGCTGAGTTCTTTGTTGAACCCGGAGGGAGATACCAAGCTGTATTAAGCACCACCACAGGCACTCACAGAGCTAGAAGTTTAGGGGAGATAGAGACTGCTCCTAGCCTCTGAGTATCTCCCAGTCTTTAGGTTTCTCCCAGTTTCTGAGTCTTTCCCTGTCTCAGGGTATCTCTCAGTCTCAGGGTCTCTCTTAGTCTCTGAGTCTCTCTCCCTATCTTTATGTTTATTAATCTCTATGAATATTTATGAAGAGTTGATGGCCTCCCTCCGGTAGCTACTGGCCCCATTTTTATTCTGTGTACAAAAATACACACACGCATATGGGGGTGGGGGGAGGAGTTATCAGTACCTGTGTAGGGGGAAGGGTAGATGGAGATACCACTTTCAGGCCCCTCCCTAGTGGAAATGCTGCATGGGAGAGATGTGTATGGGGAGCATGTTGGTTCCAGGTGTGTAAGGTGAACAAGAATTTGGCCTGCCCTCCTTCCTCAGCCTTCAAACAGGCAGTCAGGGCTTGCTTGAACACACTGTCCTGGGGACAGATCTTTGGCCAAGATTCCTAGTTCCCTCCATTCCTGGTTTCTATTTCCCCAAGGGGTCCTTAAGATGAGGAGGGGGAAGATAAGGTCAGCTCCTTGTCAGGGAGAGGGGTGGGAACAGGGGTAATCAGGGCTCAAGCCCCAGTGACAGATGAAGAGGGGGTAGTGATGCTGCCATTCCCTATCTACCGCGGACTGGGAAGATGCTCTTCTCTCTGACCCCCTTATTGGCTGGCTCACTGTCCCCACCCACTGGGACCAGGAAAAGAGGACCCTGAGGAACTTGCCCTTCTGGGATGCTAGAGAGGGAGAGGATGTCAGAGATAGAAGGATGCTCACACCTGGTCTCACCCCTTTATTTCAGACATGAGGAAACTGAGGTTCCAACCAGGGAAGGGACGACTACCCAGAGAGTATGTAGCAGAATAGGGATTCCACCCTAGGTCTTCTGACTCCCCGTCTAGAATGGAGCCAGGGGCTGTGGAGGTGGGGAGGGAAGTATAATCTGAGGATTGATTGGCTTGGGTTTACTTTTCCTCCATACAACCTTTTCTCTGTGGACCTCAGAGTGCCTCATTGGCCATTGCTGGGAGGAGGCCCTAGCCTGAAAAGCCAGAAGGGAGTGGAGTTCAGAGAGATTCCAGAAAACAGAATCCTAGATTTCCCACAATACCTTTCTGGCATAGGATGTGGCTGGAAAAGAATCTTGGGGTGCCTATTTCCCAGGGCCATAAAGCCCTGTTGGGCTCCAGCCTGGGCAAGGAGCTTGGGTCTCCCCTCCCTCTCCCCCCAGCTTCATAAATTTTTTACGATGATAGATAAGGGTCCTTTTCTATTAAGGTTGGTAATCTCTTCCCATCTCAGAACACATTTCACCCTCAAGGGGCAGTGCAAAGAGAGAGGAAGGGAGAGGGGCTCCTGGGAAGGTGGCTGGCTCTGTTGTCCTACACCAAGGCCAGGAAGCTCAGGTCTTCCTAGTGCCCAGGGCCTACTTGTAGGTAAATTGTAATTCCCTACCCTGGGAATGGAGGAACCTGGTAGATCACTGACTGTTGCTTCTCCCTCCTATTTCTTCTTTTCCCTGGATCCTGATTGAAGGGGTTGAGGGCGCCTCTCTCTGCTCTGTGGCTGATGTTCATAGGGGCCAGTTGCATCAAATGTGTGGGTGGGGTTGGGGAAGGAGGGCACCAGCCAAACAAGACCTAGCAGGAGAGGGCAGAGTTGGTTCTGGGAGATTTTTGCTCCCCCCTTCAAAGGCTTCCCAGTAACCTCTTCCTAGTCTAACCCCCATACATCCTGCTGCAGCCATGACTCTGGCTGGGACAGTGATGCCCAAAGCCTTCCCACTTCTCAGACCACAGCTTCCTCCTCTCATATCCATCTGATTAACCTACTTGTCTCTTGCCTCGCTGGTTGGCCTGGCCGCAGCGGTGAGTGCACCCCCCGCCCCAAGCCTGCCTCCCCTGGCCCACTGCCTGCTGCCCACACCACAAACCACCAGGAGGCAGCCACTGAGTGATGGTCCCCCTGGGGGTGGGGGATGGGCAGACAGCACTGAGGGAGCTGGGCTTTGAACAGCTAGCTCTCCCACGATATTCCTTTCCGGCTCGGGATGGGGCACCTTGGCATTGCCCCCTCCCCACAGAGGCACAATGCCTACGGTGTCTCCCGTTCTTTAGAGACTCCCAACTTCTTCCCGGAACGTGGCACACCCGTGCAACACGCCAACCTGAGGCACCCGCATGGAACATGCACACTCCAGGGGCACACAGTAGGGAAATCATTCTGTGGAATACGCTTCCATCCTTCGGACATATGAAACATGCCAGCACATGCTGGTACTTGGGGCAAGAAGGGCGTACCCCAGAGGCAATTGATCATACTCTTGTAGGAGGACCCCAGGGTCACCTTAAATCCTGCGGTGCAGGGGCGTGAAGTGGAGGGGAGGGGGGAGACAGAGAGCCTCCCCGGGCAGTGCGCCCGCGCCCCTAGTGGGGGGGGGGGCCTGCAGGCGGGTGCGCGCGCCCCGGAGGCCTGCTTCCCCCTTAAGAGGAGGCGGTGCGCGCCATCCCGGCCCCCTCCCCTCTTCCTCCCCAGCTGAGCCCAGCGCCCGGGAAGCCACGGGCCCCTTCCTTCCCGAGTGTCGCGCAGAGCTGTCACTCAGGCCGGGCGCGCACCGCCCCTACCCCTCTCCAAAGGGTCCCCCCTCCCCCCAGTTCCCAGCCCCTCCATCTTCTCTCCTCTCCTCCCCCGTCCCCGGGTCTCGCGCAGCCTCGTGGTCCCGCCCCGCGCTGTCACTCAGCCCCGGCGCGCGCTGCGGGCAGCGGAGCCCGGGTATAGGCAGCGGCGGCGGAGGCAGCAGCAGAAGCAGCAGCAGCAGCAGCAGCAGCGGCGGCGGCGGCGGCGGTGGCGGCGGCGGCCACCCCCGGCTCTCGGGCCCGGGCGCCAGGAGAAGGAGGAGGAGAAGGCGGCAGCAGCAGCGACAGCGGCGGCGGAGGATGAGGCAGAGGCTCCGTGAACCCCGCGCGGCCGCCAGCGGATGAGGCGCGGGGCCGGGGGCGCGGGCAGGGGGCCGAGTCATGCCAGCGCGCGGCGGGCGGGCGGGCTCCGAGCTCGGGGCTCCGGGCGGTGGCGGCGGCGGCGGCGGCGGCAGGAGGAGGGGGCAGGAGGTGGCGGCGGCGGTGCCCGCAGCCTGCCCGGCACTAGTTGCTCGCGCCCGCGGCAGCAGCGGCTTCTCCGGCTGCTCCCGGGCCCGTCTGCACCTTTCGAGCTTTTAAGCCCGGGGCGAGGTTACGCTTCTTTTTGCATTTGATGCGCTTTGCATTTTTTTTTTAATTTAAAAGAGAACATTTTACATTTGCTTTCGGCGTCACCTCCTGTTCCCGGAGCGGGCGCCCCGGCTGCCCCCGGGACGGGCCCCGCGCCCTACCCAGCCTCAGCCTCCCCGGCCTGATGGCAAAGTTGCGCCGTGGGGCCACCCCCGACTCCTACTGACGGCGACCAGGTGAGTGCGTGCCGGCCGGGCCTCGGCTGCCCTGCTCTTCAGCCGGAGTTATCCTCCTCCCCTCCCCTTCCCTGGGGTCTGGAGCTGCCCTTCCCCCAGTGACTCCCTTTCTCTCCTCCATCCAGGGCTGGAGGGATGGGAGATGGGGACCCTAGCACCCCTTCCCCCAACCTGCTGGCCTCTGCCCTGCAGGCAGCCCGCTTCCTCTCGCCTGGGGCCGCGGCCGGGGCCCAGGGAATTGGGGGTGGGTGGGATATGGCGGGGGATCAGGAGCCCGGGGTCCGGGGATGCCGGGAGCCGAGTGGTCCAGGGATGCTCAGCCAGCACCGGGGCGGGGGCGCTCTCCGCAGTTCTCCGCGCTGTGCGGGGTGGTGGTGGGGGGGAAGGTTGGTGGCGGCGGGGGACGCCTGTCAAAGCCTCCTTTGAGCGCGGCGCCCAGGCGGGGTGGGCCCGGAGTTCACGGACCGGGGTCTGGCCTGGCCTGGTCTGGCTCCCCGCGAGGGACCGGCTGGGAACTTTGGCTGGGGAGCCAGGAGAGAGAACAAGTGCTGAGAGCTGCCAAGGCCACCCCCGGTCTCCGCGGGGCTGCTCTCTGGCGTCTCCTGCCGGTGGCCCGAGCGGCGGTGGTCCTGGTCCTCTGCTCCGCCCGGGCCCCCTCCCTCCTCCGTTTCTTTTCGGGAGCCCATGGCTACTTCCTCGAACTCGACCCTGGCACAGGAGTGAGGATCATTTTTAGCACTGAGAATGTCCTCAGAGGCTCCTGGCCTTAAGGGATGCCGGGGGGCATCAGTGGGTGGAGGGGCCCACGTGGGCTGAGGACAGTAATCTTCCCTCTACCCCACCACCATACACTCCCACACTTGGGAAAGGACTTTTACGTGTGACAATGGGCGCAGGCTCCCGAGTGTCCAGGCCTAACTTGAACGGGCAGCAGGCAGGGGAAAGAAGGGCCCGGATGCTAAATGTCTGGGCAGGACCTTTGGTGAGAGGCTTTTAGGTTGGAAGAGACTCTGATGAGGACCTGGAATCACTTAGCCCCTCCCAGTCCTCCCCTGCCTAGACAGGGATGTAATCACCTGCAGTGTGGGTCTAATTGGCACGGTGCTTCCCATGCTCCCCCTAGGCACTTTTAGGCCAATGGGCAGAAATGCCCTCCAGAGAGTAGCTAGATCTGATGCCAACAAGGAGTGGGAAGAGTTCCTGAGGTAGTGGGAATGAACTTGGGGGTCTGGGACACATGCAGGTAGGTCCTAGGATACTGGGGAGAGTGGAGCCAGTGCACCCCAATGCCAGCCCCCTCCTCTCCAAGCCAGAGACAGAATGTTCCTGGCAGGAAGGGGGAGGGGGGGAGGGGTGGCCCTGGGGAGGGAGCCAGCATTGGCAGGGCCTTTTCCTCATTCATCATTGCCCAGCCCTGGAAGGGGGGAAGGGAAAGAGGCTCAGGGGAGAGGGCCAGGGACCCTTTGCTAGGTTTCTTGCCCTTCCTTCCCCCAGGTCTCTTAGGTGGGGAAGGGGTTGGAGACGAGGGGGGGGGGCAGTGTTGGTGCACTAGGTCCCAGCTGGTCATTCCCCCCAAAGAGGGCCTTGTTCGTTTGTCTGGTGTCTGGGATCTTGCCTGTCTAGTCTGGTTTACAGCAGAGACAAGCCCCCCCTCACTGCTTTTGAGAGCATCTTTGAACTCACTCTCATTCTCAGAGCATTTACCCTATCTTTCCCCATGGTCCTAAGTTGAGCCATGGGTGGGGCTGTTGGGGGGACAGTGGGGAGCTCCCTGGATGGCCAGCCCTTTATCCTCACTCAGGAAGATCTAAGAGCCTCGAGACCTTTTCTTGCCCAAGGTAGGAATGGCCCCCACAACCTTGAACTTGATCTCCTTGATGTCTATGCCTCTCTTTGTGTGTGTGTGTGTGTGTGTGTGTGTGTGTAATAGGGAGGAGTTTGGACTAAGTGCTTGGAGATCTTCAGATCAAAGTTGAGATAAGAGAACTCTTTCAAGGGGGCATTACTGTGTTTAACTATGTGGCTAGTCATTCCCAGAGTCCCAGGTGGTGGTGGTGAGGGGCATCTGAGTTTGTGAGTGAGTGATTGTTTGTGAGTGGCATTGGATTCACTGATCACTGTGCCTGGGAGAGGGGGGTGATACCACCAGAGGAAGCTGGTGTCCAGGAGGGACTTCTAAAGATCCTGGCAGTGGTGGAGAAAAGGCCTGCAGTTTTGGAATAATGATGACTGGTGGGAGCCATGAAGGAGGGGCTGTGAAAGGCCCGGGGAAGGGTGGGAGGAAATGCCCACATTGCTTCCTGGAGAGTGAGATTGGTTTGGTGGGGAAGAAGGGAGAAGAAGCTGAGAAGCCTTGAGTCTCAAGGAATTCATCAGGAGGGACAGGTGTTGTAACAACCCAGCTGGTGTCAGAACCTATAGTCTGACGGCCCAAGATTTGAACCCTTGCCAGCCCCCAAGAGGCCTCTGAGGGATGGCTGTCCTGCCAAGTCCAGGGCTAGAAGGGGGATTGTTGTGTCTTCCTGAACAGGCCCCAAGCAGTGACTTGTAGGCAGAGGTCTGGGTCAGGTGACCGAGGCCCAGCAGCCACAAGCCTGACAACAGTCCCTGCTAACTGCCAAGGGGATAGGCAGAGCCCTGGACTCAAGGACCCCCTCTCATCCTGGGGTGGGGCTGGGGGATGTGGGGAGGAATGCCAAGGAAGCCAATTTTCCAGCCCACCCCCACTCCCCAAGGCTAGAAGAACAAAAGGTTTCTTCTCATTTGTTCATGTAGCAATGACGGCTGTTGCAAAGTTCTGGGGAGATGGGGTGGGCTGAGTCACCGCCCCCCTTCCCCTGCCTCCTCCAGGCTGGCTCAGTACCCAGGCACCACCTGGTGCCCCTGATGATGCACTGGGCTCTTCCCTCTCTCGTACTATCTCATCCCTTTCTCCCTTTTCCTCCTTCTGTTCCCTGGGCTGTATGTATGTATGTGGGGAAGAAAAAAGCCAGATTCTTCTCCCTCTTCCTTTTTTCCCTCTGCCAGTCACCAGAGGGAGGAGGAAAGCGTGTGAGGCTCCCCTGTCCCCAAACACATACCCAGGAGCTGTTGGAAGAGGGAGGAGGAAGGCAGAAGGTTCTTGGCCAGGGCAGTGCCCACCTCAGGAGCCTTTCTTTGCCAAAATATCAGATTTGGTTACTCTTGGGCTGCTTTGTGGCACTGCCCAGGGGGCTGTGTAGGCATGTTCCTGCATGACACCTCAGAGATTGGGGAGGGGGGTCACAAAAGAGAGAGAGCAGAGAGCCAGGGGTGGGGGTGGTCAGGGAAGAATGCAGTTTTGATCGGGCCCTGTCCGGAAGAGGAGAGCTCCCGAAGCCGTCTGCCTCTGTCCGTTTCTACCTGGGAGCTACCACCTCTTCCCTCACTCCTGGACAGTTATGTAAGACTGGCTTTCTGAGATCATTTAACCTCCTCGTTTTATGCATGAGGAGCCCTAGGCCTAGAAAGGGCAAGGGACTTACTCAAGATCATACAGCATGTCAGTGGCAGAGGCCAGGAATGGGCCCAGGGTCTTTGTGATTCTGTGATATTTCTCCCAATACCACTCGGTGAACCTGTCCCTGAGAATGTATTAGGGTGGGGAGCTGCTAGCAGAGGAAAATAGGGGAGGATGCTTGGATCTTGGACCTCCAAAATGAACTGCTCTGGTCATTCAGAGCTGTTTGGGAGAAAGGGAGGGGATTGGTGTTCTTGGCTTCCTTCCAGGGTCCAAGCCCTCTGGACCACATGGCTCTAAGAATGTGTTGTGTCGTGGGGTGAGGCATGGGGCTGGTTCTAGGGCCTAGTGGGAGCTGTGGGCAGTAAAAGGCTGACAGCAGGGCATGCCTAGGTCCCACCCACACTGGGCATACCCAGGCCAAGCCAGGTGGGAAGCCCCTCCTCGTAATGGACTGTTTGGGAGGCCAGGCGTGAGTGACGGCTGGGCAAATTAGAACTGCCAGGTTGGTAAACGGTGTGGACGTTCTCCCCGCTGCGTCTCCCTTCATATCCTCCATCAGGCCCTGGCAGAGTCTTCCCAGCCCACCCGACACTGGTCTGCGTTCTGCAGACACTCCCCTTCTCTCCAGCCCAAGCGCTCAGCAATGGTTACCAACTTAGCAAACCTCCTGTGGGCTGCGTGGCGTGCTGTCTTCTCACCCAGCCCAAATGAACAGGAACCAGCCCTAGAGGAGCGCACCTTCTTCTGTTGCACACCTGTCCCTGGTTTCTATTTCCTTCAGAGATCTAGCATCAATCCCTCTCATTTCTACATTTGCTCCTGGGGCTTAAGAGGACGTGGCATGTAATGGGCAGATCTTTGCAGGACTGCAGGCTTCAGAGTTGCCTTGGAGTACCTGGCTGTGGGGGATAGGACAAAGCTGGTTGTTGTGGGGATAAGGAAGGGACTGGCCTGGGCCTGATGAATCATGGCTCCTGGCTCTCAGGGGCAGCCTGTGATATAGTATGTTAGAGCTCAGAGGGGCCTTAGAGAGCATGTTATCTGCTCCCCTCGTTGTACAGGACAGGCGCCGTCTACCTTTGCATCCCGTGTCCATTACAGTGCTCAATATAGAGAAGATGCTAAATCAATGCTTATTGATTGATACAGAGAAGCAAATTGAGGCTCAGGAGGATTAGAAATGACTTAGCCAAGGTCACACAGAGAGACTAGACATTCTTCACCTCCTCTTTTTACCCTAGGGGCTGAGGGAGCCTTGGGATCAGGCTCCAAAGTGGCCAGAGGGTGGGTAACGTGTCTCTGTGTGTGTGTGTGTGTGTGTGTGTGTGTGTGTGTGTGTGTGTGAGAGAGAGAGAGAGAGAGAGAGAGAGAGAGAGAGAGAGATAGTTTTTGGCTATAATCGTGTCTGACTGCCAGGTTTTGACTATCAGAATGGAGGCCCCCACTAGGAACCTGATGTGCTCCCTATTACCTTGGGCATAAAATACAACTTCGTCAGTTTGGCATTTTAAACCCTTTG